TAACCAAATCAATCCTATCAAAATGGCCATACTTCACCTCTACTGTCATTGAATCTGTGCTTTTCAAGATGGTCAGAAGTAACTTTCACTTTACTAAATCCATTGGTCAGTGCCATTTTTCATCTTACTGGACGTATCAGTTTACTGATGTACATTCTCTACTGATCTCCAGGTTGCTGCATTCTTGGTTCTCTTCTTACTTAACGGTTGCCTCCTCAGACACTGTTGCTGGTTCCTTGTACTTGAACTACCCAGGGCTCAGTTTTGGAGCTCTGGAGACTCTGTTTTCTCTCTTGGTGCTTGCATCCAGCATCATTACATTATATACTGTCTTCTGTGTAGCTGACTTTCAGTTTTTTCCTTCAGTCCAAACTACTGTCATGGGGCTCAGTGGCACAGCGCCTGCCCGGCAAGCACAAGGTCGTGAGTTCAATTCCCAATACCAGAAAAAACAACAACAAAAAACAAAAAACAAAAAACTACTGTCATGAACCTTGAGAACTCATAGATCCAACTGCTCATTAAACATAATGAATGCCTAATAGGTACTGCAAGTGTAATAGGTTAAAAATTGAGCTTGTGTGTTTTCCTTTCAAACCAACTCAACATTTACTTTACTTTTATATATTTATTTTGGTTAGTATATGTTTGTAGTGCATAATGTTTAATGCATCTGAGGGAGGAAGTTCTAAATATATCTTGATTCTTTTTATTTCCCTTCCCTTCACCTCCATCTTCCCTATATCTCTTAGTCCCCTTCCCATTTACAAAAAGATTTATCTCCCTGTTTTCTACTGTGTATCTTTTATTTATTTATATATTTTTTGGTCTTTTGAGACAAGGTCTCACTATGTAGACCAAGCTGGCCTCAAACTTTTTTTTTTTTTTCTGGTACCGGGAATTGAACTCACTTGCCAGGCAGGCGCTGTGCCACTGAGCTAAATCCCCAGCCCCTAGCCTCGAACTTGTGGCAATCCTCCTGCTTCAGTTACTTTCTTTTTAAAATTATTTATACTTTGTGTTTCTCATAAAAAGGAGATTATGCCACATTTATTTTATGCCATGTGCATCTGACTTTATGTCTCTTAACATTATGGTCTAGAGATACATCCACGTTCCTACAAATGACTGAAATTTATTGTTCTTTTTTTTTATTTTAAAGAATAAAAGAAGGATAACATAATAATAGGGGGGACTCAGCAAATTACAGACAAAATGGTAGGAAATTATCAATGGTTATCGTTTTACGTATTATTATCTACAAAATAGTTTCTCAGGAAAACAGACAAATAATAGTGAGTTAGAGACAAAAGAGGTAGGAGATTATCAAGAGTTGTTGTGCTGTAAGGGTCGTGACACTCGCCGCGTGAAGGAAGACTCCAAGAGACGCTCTCTCATGCAAAAAGCAAGGGGATTTTTATTCACCAAGCATGCATGGGGCTCACTGACCTCGCAGGAACAGAGAGCCCCGAGCCAGGTTAGCTCTGGCTTTTTAACCCGAAAAACCACAAAGGAGGGAGTTGTAAGCATGACTACAGGGGAGGGGAAAGTGCTCTGTGTCAACACAAGATGTTTTTTCTCCCAAGGACAGGAGATAATGTCCGGACATTCCCAGCGCCTTCTTTCTGGGCAATCTCATGCTGCTTATCTATGGGTCAGAAGCTAGCTGGTTCCCACAAAAATCTTTACTTTTACATTTCTACAGTGCTATACTTTGGTATCTTCAAAGTGGCTTCTAAAGAAAATAAATAGAGCTATACATGAGTGACCTATTGAAAAATCATTAACTATTCTCAATGGTTGTTGTAGGAAACACATAATAATAAACATACATTATGAAATAGGATAGGAACATTACAAACTTAACACAGTTATGGATAGATTAGTAGGAAAATATCAATGGCTGCTGTAATACGTGGTGGTATCTTCAAAGTGGTTTCTCAGGAAGACAGAGATATGCAAGAAGGATCTAATAAGTAGTTACAGCGTAAGGGTTGTCAAAAATAGGATATTACCTCCTCACCAGTGACTCCTTTCACTGAGGTATGATGGCTGGAAGGAAGGCCAGGATTGAAAAGAAGGACCGAGAGACTTGCACCTGTGACTAGCAGCAGGCTGTTTTCTTGTTCCTCCATAGTCATGATTACCCAGGACTCCTTGATGGAGATGACGGTCTGGCCAGAGGGAGAAGGCAGACCATACCCCAAGCCCTCTCATTCCTGTTGGACTAACTGGTAGCATGGGTCTGAGCTCTGGGGCCTCCACCTCAGAGGGCAGACCAATCTCCAGTGGTCTCCTTTGCATCCAGGGCATGGCCCATGGGGCCTCTTAGGGCAGTTCCTCTTGAGGTGGCCTGGCTTTTAACAGTGGTAGCAGATGAATGCAGTTGTCGAGTTCTTCTTGGAGCCCCGGGAATCAGACCAAAATTTATTGTTCTTTATGTCAAGTTCCAGACCAGCCTGGCTACATAGTGAGTTTGAGGCCAGCCTGAACTACATAGTGAGATCCTGTCTCAACAAAACAAAACTAAAAACAAAACAAAATAAAACAAAAAATATTCCTAAAACAGACTCCAATAGACGCTTGCACACCAGTGTCTGCAGCAGCAACATTCACAAGCCAAGAGCAAATAAACCCCAGCATTCATCAACAAAACAAGATAAATAAAAGGTTGTGTATGTACCAGAACACTATTCAATCATAAAAAGAAACAAAGTTTCAATGCATGCTACAATATGGTGAGAGAAGCCTGACACAGGAAAAACAAATACTATATAATTCTATGAAATATCTAGAAAAGTCAACTGTGTAGACAGAAAGTAAACTGGAAATTACAAAGGCGGGCAGTTATTGTCTAATGGGTACAGACCTTCTGCTTGGAATGACAAAGATTTCTCAAAAAAGCGGCGATTATTTCATTAACACTGTGTAAGTATTTGATGTCACAGAATTATACAGTTAAAAATACAAGGTAAGTCAGGTGTGGTGGTGCACACCTGTAAGTAATCCCAGCACTCTGGAAAGCTGACGGAGAAGGATCAAAAGTTCAAGCCAAGCCTCAGTAATTTAAAAAGACCCTGTCTCAAAATAAAAACTAAGCTCTGGACAAAGGCCCTGGGCTCAATTTCCAGTACAGGGGGGAAAAAATGCAAGTTAAACGGTAACTTAAGGTTGTGCATGTTTCTATTTACACATAACCTTGATTTTTAAAATAGTAACAACAAAGTGTACAAGATAATGTTTGTGTACAAGATAAAATTTAAAATAAATAGGGGGGGAAATTGAGATTTAAGACTAAGTTTTTCTAAACCACTTTAGAAAACCTGTACACCATTTTTTAGCATTGTTCTATGAAACATACATTCATAGCAATACTGGCTTATAGATGAACCTTAAAAACAACTTGCTTTCAAGTAGATTACAGAAGTTTATATTTTTGGCAATGATTGTCCTGAAAATCTAAACCTCTAAAAACTCAGATGGCTGCCTGTCACCTAATTTAAGATGCGAGACTGTCATCGTGTGGCAAGTAAAAGAAGTTGCTTGTTTTTCCAATGCAAAGGATATAGTGGAGATTTCTTTTTAAGAGATTTCTGGAATTAGCCAAAAGAAAATGAAGATTTTTCAAATTATAGAATAAATAAACAATCTAGACTATCCAGAATATATGACTGACCAGAAATAGCTCATTTATCTCCCACTTCAAAAGATAACAAAAAACAGGGCTCGGTGGTGCAGCACCTGCCTAGAAAGTGCAAGGTTCCGAGTTCAATTTCCAGTACTCAAAAAAAAAAAAAAAAAAGATAACAAAGAATAATAATTTTAAACATTTAAAAAGCTAAATTTCAAATATATTAAAATTTAAATATGTATTTTGGTAACCTAAATATCATATTAGCAACGTTGATCTCATATTCCCGAAAGACAATATTTCAGACAGAAAATATATAAATTTTAATACTTCAACAGCCATCATTAGCTATTACATATTATTAAAGTGGCATATAAATCTGTGCCCTTCTGGGTGTGGTGGAACACGCCTGTAATCCTAGGACCAGGAAGGGGCTGAGGCAGGAGGATCTCAAGTTTGAGCCCAATCTGGGTAACTCAAATTTAGTGAGACCTTCTCCCAAATGTAATACTTTTTACAATAATCCCAAATAAAGCCTTCCTTACTATAAAAAAAAAAAGTTTGCATTTGGCAGAAAAACACAAGTATGGGAGGGTGGCTCAGTGGTACAGTGTTTGTACAGTGCAGGAAAGGGAGAGAAGGGGAGGGGAGGGGAGGGGAGGGGAGGGAGGGAAGGCAAAGCAAAGCAAAGCAAGCAATATAGTAAACAATCTCCACAGAAATCTTGGCTTTCAGTCTCCCACTCACTCCCCAGCCACCGAACTGAACCATCTCTTCATCTCTCCATGGCTGGAGCTCCCCATTTAGTAACAAAGAAAAACAGTTACAAAGGTTCCCACCTGCTCTACAGGAAATCCCATGGCTCTACTTTTCCAGACTTTACAACTTGGAGAAAGGCAAGAAAATAAAAGACACTAAACTACATAACCAATTTCTCCTACTGCCCCTAAACTCTGGTTGCAAGACCCTTAATAATTACAACTAGCTTGATAAAGGATACAAATATGAATATGTCAACTCATTTATATCTATTTTAAATTCTGTTCAAAATAACAAGTGCTGACTGCTGAATATTGTCTTAAATATTTTTTTTGTTTGGTACCGGGAATTGAACTCAGGACCTTGCACTCAAGCAGGCACTGTGCCACTGAGCTATATCCCCAGCCCCTTAAACTTCTTTCCTCAAGAAAAAAATCATAAATTAAATTACTTAAGTTGCAATATTTAAAACATCTTTCAAATTTTATCACACGTGATTTATTTCATTCTTTCATTATTCAATCAATATGCTAAACACCTACTATGTGTCAGATACACCATGTTTTAGCTTCCTTTAGTGTCTTAAAAGCCTAAGAGTTGAGAATCTTACCAATATGGCCTCCTCCAATGGTGTATGTCTTCCCAGATCCAGTTTGTCCGTAGGCAAAAACCGTTGCATTATAGCCCTCAATGAGTGACAGCACCAGTGGCTTTACACATGTATTATAAACTTCTTCTTGAGTGGAATTTTTGCCAAAAACGAAGTCAAAAGTAAAGACTCTACCTTTCCCAATGATAATTTGCTGGGTATTTGGAACAACTCTCACACAAACTTGATGATTACGAAGAACTTCTTTGCAAAGCAGAGGTCTAACTCTTACAGCAACTTTTACTGGTATTTCCTCCATGGCAGCTTAGATTTTACTAAACAGATTATCTACTTAATGTTCAGTATCAAGTGTGAGAAACATCCATTTTACATAACAACTGGATACCTGTATATCAAAATAAAAGAAAAATTTTAATTACTGACTTCACTTATCCTAATAAAATTATATACCTACTTAAAGCAAAGTCAATCAGACCAGGTTCTTTTTCAGTACAATATAGTTACAAAAAGTAAATACATCTTATAAAGTACATCATTAAGTTACTGATGAAATCATATAATGTCTGGATTTGCTTTAAAATAATCAAGACACTGGGGTCTTCAGTTGGTAAACTGTAAAGCTTAAGAGGTAAGTACATGAGATTCTGCTATGCCTTCAATTTTGGTTTCACAATTTATTAATCTAAATATTGAATAATCAAGGAATTAGAAAATTCAGGTAAGGAAATAATTGAGGAACTATATGTCTTAAAAGCAAACATTTTAATAAAAGCAAACATTTCTACTAGATTTTATAATATTAATTAAAAAATAGATTTTTTCTTTGCCACAGATATTAGAAACAAATCCCTAAAAAGAGTTTTAGGAATTTCTATAAGTCAAAATAAATTTAAAACTAAATTTCATATTAAAAACAATCAAAACTAAAAGAAAACTTCTTTTCCCCCTCCTAAATTTTCTTTTTTTTGTTTGTTTTTTTTTCTAGTACCGGGAATCAAACTCATGACCTTGTGCTTGCCAGGCAGGCACCATGCCACTGAGCTAAATCCCCAGCCCCTTCCCCCTCCTAAATATTATGCTATACTGCTTTTTGAAGATATCTCAAATTATTAAAATTTAAACTGGTAACTACATTTACAATGAACACCCTGAAAATTTTATAAAGAAAACAATTCCACAATACATCAAAGAAAAAACATAACTTTCAACCCAGGTTGATGTACCTTGCAAAACTGTCATTCAGAATTAATGGAGAAATAAGATACTTCCATGACAAAGAACAACTGAAGAAATTCATGACCACCAAACCAACCCTACAAAGAGTACTGAAAGATATTGTAGAGACAGATAACATGTATAAATCCAAGAACACCATTAGCAATAAGCTATCAAGCAGAGCAAGCAATTAAACAGAGGGATAAGACAAGGAACAAAAGCAGATAATAATATGACAAGGATAAAGCAATACATGTCAGTTATTACCATCAATGTAAATGGTCTCAACTCACCAATCCAAAGAAACAGACTGGCAGAATGGATCAAGAAACAAGATCAAACAATATGCTGCATACAAGATACACATTTAACTTAAAAAGAAATTCACAGATTGAAAGTCAAAGGATGAAAAACAACATTCCATGCAATAAGTACCCAGAAAAAAAGGAGGCATAGCTATTCTATTTGCAGACAATGTGAACTTCAAGCAAAGAAAAATCAGAAGAGATAAAGAAAGTCACTACATTCTTGTGATGGGAAAACTCCAAGAGATACAGATAACAATCATAAATATAAATGCACCAAATACAGGAGCATTCAACTATATAAAAGAAATTTTATTGGACATGAAAAATCAAATAAGCAATAACACAATTGTAATGGAGGATCTTAACACCCCATTATCACATAGATAGATCAATTAGACAAAAAATCAATAATGAAATATCAGAACTGAACCAAGCCTGTGAGCAAATGAACTTAATAGATGTGTATAGTGTTCCACTACACATCAGAGTATCCATTTTTCTCAGCTGTGCATGGGACATTCTCCAAAATAGACCACATAAGAGCACATAAAACATGTGTAAGTAAATGCAAAGGAATTGAAATAATCCCATGCATATTATCTGACCATAGTGCAATGAAATTGGAAAGCAATGGCAAAAGAAACCACAAAAATTCCATAAATACATGTAAATTAAATAACACCCCACTGAACAACCAATGGGTCACATATGAAATTAAAAAAGAAACAGTATCTACAAATGATAACATGTGAGAACATATTGGAACTTATGGGATGCAATGAAAGCAGTTTGAAGAGGGAAATTTACAGCAATGAATGCCCGTATCAGGAAGAAAGAATGAGCTCAAATAAACAGTTTAATGTTGAATCTCAAACTTCCAGAAAATAAGAACAAATCAAGCCCAAAACTCATACAAGGAAGAAATTATAAAGATCAGAGCAGAACTTAATACAATGAAGACTAAAAAAAATACAAAGAATCAATGAATCAAAGAGTTGGTTCTTTAAAAGAGTAAATAAAATTGATAAACCCTTAGCAACCCTTATCAAAAAAAAAGGAAAGAAAAGACTCAAATTCATGCAAATAGGAACAAAAAGAGTGAAATCACAACAGATCCTGCAGAAATCCAGAAGATCATCAATACCTACTTCGAGAAACTTTATTCTAAAAAGATGAAAAACAAAGATAAAAGACAGATTCCTAGATACATATGAACTACCAAAGATGAATCAAAGATACAAAAATTCCAAATAACCCAATATCAGTCAATGAAAATGTAATTAAACACCTACCAATGCTGGGCATGGTGACACATGCCTGTAATCCCAGCACTCGAGAGGCTGAGGCAGGAGGATCATTGCAAGTTCAAAACCAGCCTGGGCTACAAAGTGAGCTCAAGGCCAGCCTGAACTGCACAGCAAGACCCTGTCTCAAAAAGAAAAAAAAAAAAAATCAATCTACCAAAAAAAGAAAAGCCCAGGTCCTGATGGATCACAGCTGAGTTTTACAAGAAATTTAGAGAAGATCTAATGGCACTACCAATGAAACTCTAATGAAATTGAAAGGGAAGTGTGGTGGATTGACAAATGGTGGTCAACTTGAAACACCCAGCTGAATTGAAACAATGTGGTGCTGGGTGTGCAAGGCCCACCTGAGGACTGTCACCAACAAAATAAAAAGAAGAATTAGAGAAGAAGAAAAAGCTGTTAGGGAGCTGTTGTTCCCCTTGCAAACCCTGACTACAACAGGAAGCAATACTCCCAAATTCATTATTGGAAGCAAGTATTATCCTGATTCCAAAACCAGAGAGGGGTCCAAACAAAAGAGACTACTACAAGCCAGTCTCCCTAATGAATATACATGCAAAAATCCTCTATAAGATACTGGCAAACAGAATGGAGTAAATCATCAAGAAGATACATACCATGACCAAGCAGTATTCATTCAAGCTATTCAGAGTTGGTTCAACAAACTCAAATCAATAAGTGTAATATATCGTATCAACAGAACAAAGGGGAAAAATCATGATCATTTCAATAGGTGCAGAAAAAGCATTTGACAAAGTCCAACACCCATTCATGATAAAAACTCTACAAAAAATTGGAATAGATAGTCTTGATCTCAATCTAATAAAAGCCATCTATGACAAACCAACAGCCAACATCATACTAAATGGTCAAAAACTGAAAGCTTTCACTCTAAAACCAGGAACAAAACAGGGACGTCCACTATCACCACTTCCACTCCCATTTAATACAGCTCTGGAAACATTAGCCAGAGCAATTAGACAAGAGAAATAAATAAAAGAAATAAGGATAGGAAAGGAAGAAGTGAAATTATTATTTGCAGATGACATGATACTCTACATAGAAGACCCCAAAAACTCCACCGAAAGACTTCTAGATTTAACAACTAAATTCAGTAGTGTAGCTAGATACAAAGTCAACACCCCAAAATCAATAGCATTCCTGTACACAAACAACAAATTCACTGAGTGAGAGATTAGGGAAACCACACTCTTCACAATAGTATCTAAAAATATGGAAAAAAATCTAACGAAGCAAGTAAAAGATCTATACATTGAAAATTACAGTTCTCTGAAAAAGGAAATCCAAGAAGATATCAGAAAATGGAGAGATATCCCTTGCTCATGGATAGGAAGAACCAACATAGTGAAAATGGTCATACTCCCAAAATTGTTGTACAAATTTAATGCAATCGCGATCAAAATACCATTAGCATATCTCACAGAACTAGAGAAAATATTCCCAAAATTCACCTGGAACCAGAAGACACCTAGAACAGCAACACCAATTCTGGGCAACAAAGGCAAGGCAGGGGGCATCACAATCCCTAACCTGAAATTATGCTACAACACTACTGTGATAAGATCAGCATGGTACAGGCAAAAACAAAAAACAAAAAACAAAACAGATCTCAGGATCAATGGAACAGATTAGCAGATGCAGACACAACTACAAACACACTCAGCCACCTTATCTTTGACAAAGAGGCCAAACATGTTCACTGGAAGAAAGATAGCCTGTTTAATAAATAGTGCTGGAAAAACTGACTTTCCATATGCTGAAGACTAAAACTAGACCCACGTCTATCACCATGCACTAAACTAAAATTGAAGTAGATCAAAGATCTAAACATTTAAACAGAAACACTAAATCTACTGGAAGAGAAAGTAGGTAGAAATCTTGAAGACAGGGGCACGCCTCATGAACAAAACCCAGACCAAGTGGGAAATACTTCAAAGCATCAACAACTGGGATCTCACCTTATTAAAAAGTTTTTGCACATCAAAAGAAATCACCAAGCCAGGCGTGGTGCTGCATACCTGTAATCCCAGCACTTGGAAGGCTAAAGCATGAGGATCACTGCAAGTTCGAGGCCAGCCTGGGCTACGAAGTGACCTCAAGGTCAGCCTGAACTGCATAGCAAGACCCTGTCTCAAAAAGACAAAAGAAATCACCAACAGCTGGGCGTGGTAGTGCATGCCTATAATCCCAGCACTTGGAAGGCTGAGACAGGAGGATAGTTCAGAGTTCAAGTCTAGCCTGGGCTACACAGTGAGCTCAAGGCCAGCCTGAACTGCATAGCAAGTCCCTGTCTCAAAAAGACAAAGAAAAGAAAAGAAAAGAAAAGAAAAGAAAAGAAAAGAAAAGAAAAGAAAAGAAAAGAAAAGAAAAGAAAAGAAAAGAAAAAAAAAAGAAAGAAGGAAGGAAGGAAGGAAGGAAGGAAAGAAAGAAAGAAAGAAAGAAAGAAAGAAGGAAAGGAGGAAAGGAGGAAAGGAGGAAAGGAGGAAAGGAGGAAAAGAGGAAAGGAGGAAAGGAAGGAAGGAAGGAAGGAAGGA